AAAATAATAAAGAATAGAGCATTTTATTATGATATTTGTAATCGGAGCAAAGGCTTGTTTACGCTACGAGAGCTCGAGATAGACTGTGAATAATGGATGTAATGTTTTTAGGACGTAGAATAATTTAGGCGACGCGACGGTCGGAATTATGTTTCTGCGCATATCAAGGTTAAAGCTCATAAGATTTTGAAACAACTCTACCTGTTCGACGACATTTACATGTGCAATATCCGGGACGGTGGATCGGAAGAAAAAATGGCCACCGCGAGGGCCTGACTTAAAACCTTGCGATTATTTTTTGTGGGATCAAAAGTGTGTTCTTCTCCAGTGGATAATGGAGAGCAATTATACAGGAGAATTCTAAATGATGTAAACACTTTAAGAAATTATGCAAAAACCAAGTAACGTCTCCATTTTAACTTTTTGCGATAAGTAAATCTTTGTATACAAGAAAATTTTCAATTTTCTGCTTTAATTGTTTGTGTGATAAAAGCTACTATTTTAAACAAACTCAATTTTAGCACGATTTGGCAAAGACTGGATCATTTGGAATAGACAAATACAAAAATAGTGTCTATTATCAAATTACACAGCCACACAAAAAATAAAAAGTTGTCTGTACTTTTCATGCGACATATGTTAAGTGTAGTATTTTTGTCTCCTGATCACGAATTGAACTATCACATCACAGGAATTTCCTAACCTCATAGCAAAAATTCAGAACAAAGGTGCTGGGAAAAATACAATTTTTTTTTTCTATATTCAAATGTTCATTTATATGGTTAAGACCTCGCTGAACGTGAATCCGCGGTCAGAATTGATGGTTCTTTTTCTAACCTCAAAAAACTGGTCAGATATCATGAATTTTCAAAAAATAAGTTTCGCGCCAAATTAGGTGTACAAGGGTTTTCGGGGTTACTAATCACGGATCCGAGGTCAATTTTGCAAAATTCAAGATGGCGGATCCAAGATGGCCGAACATATTTTCAAAAAATAACACATTCGCGCCAAATTTGGTATACGGGGGTTTTCGGGGTCATTATTGTGCGAACAGAAAAAAGTCATGGAAGGATATTTTCAAGTGCATCAATTTCTAGCAGTTGTGAGTTTTAAAAATCATTCTGTATAACTCCAAAATGTGTCAGCAAAAGCCCATATCCCAAAAGCAATTAAAATTGTTAAACGCGTATTAGTTACTTTAAATATTCAAAAATTTTTCAGAAACTTTGAGGTCGTCTAGCGGCTAAACGAAGCGGTTTCGGATATAGGTGTAGGTGAATTAACTTTATTTAACCATTTTTAGTCTAGCAATTTATGGTTTTACGTCGTACAAGTATTTAAAAAATAAATCTCGATCCATTTGAATCTAGAGACAAAAGCTATATGGTAATATTAAATGTTTACAGAGGAATGTGAAATAAGAGGTCATGAGTTTTAGATGTTGCGTTATTCATAAGGGTCGATTTTCGTATATATTACCTATATCAGGTCGTTAGTCACTATTCTTTAGGTAATAAAACGGTTCAAAAAATACATTCCATACAAGTAATATTGTTATTTTGTTGTTTTTAATTGATAATCAAGATTGACCTCACATGCATTGAATAAATGATAAAATGTTGCAGTTAGAATATTTTTATGTATACGAGGTCTGTTCAGAAAATAACCGAACTTTATTTTTTTAAATTTTATTATTAATTTGATACATTATTGGTCCTTGTCTCCTTCAATATGCTCCCTTCCCCTATTGATACACTCTTCCTAGCGGTGTTTCTATTTGCCGTAGCAGTCCTGGATAGCGCCATTTAAAATGGCCCTTAAAGTGCGTTGCGAATTTGCTTTGACGTCATCATTACCTAATCGGAAAGCGGCGTCCTTTCAGCACTGACTTTAATTCCGGAAATCAGAAAAACTCGCAAGAACTCAGGTCTGGCCAGTAAGGAGTGTGATGGAAGATAGTAATCTGATTTTTGATATAAAACTGGTGAATCCATAAAGCTGAGTGTGTGAGCGCATTGTCATGGTGCATGAACCATGGCTGTCTCGCCACAACTTTGGTCTCTGTTTGCGGATTTTGCGGATTTTTTTCACGTAACCGTTGTTAAAGACCTTGATAGTACACACGGTTCACTGTGCCACCTTGAGCCCGGAATTCAAAAAGAACAATTCCATTAAACTTGAGAAAAACTGTGAACATCATTTTGCATTGGATCTAGACTGACGTGCTTTCTTGGGACATCCCTTGCCAATTCATTGTGATGATTGAACTTTTGTCTCAATGTCGTAGCCGTAAACCCAGCTTTCTTCACCAGTTGTGATCCTTTGAATGAATGTTTCATCGTCATTGGATTGTTCAAGGAGTTGCCGACAAACGTCCACACGATTTTCTCTCTGTTGTTCGGTCAACTCAATACATTTTCAATATTTCAGTCAAAATTCCATGGCATAACCCGATTGAGATACTAACCTCTTCTGCATTTCTCTGACAGTTAATTGGCGATTTGCACGCACCAGATCTTTGACTTTCCGAATGTGGGAGTCATCAGTTGAAGTCGAAGGCCTTCATGGTCGAGGATCATCTTCAACTGACTGACGACCACTTTTAAATCGTGAAAACCATTCGTAACATTGCTTATGACTTAGGACATCATGTCCGTAAGCACAAAACTAAATTGAGTTATCAACAATCCAAGAACATGTAGCTAGTTCTAGTTACTGAGGAGGTTCTGCACAATGCAATGCTGCCAACCGCACATCACTAAATATCTCCATTAGCGCGTTATTTAAAAAGTTCGGGTATTTTCTGAACAGATCTGGTACATACCTACTTATAATTATGCAAATAAAATTGTTATTTCCAAAAATTAGTAGAGAATTGATATCTACTTTGAAATTTAATAGATAATAGCTTTGAAGGGGTGTACTACTGCTCTAGACAGTAAAACAATATGCAAAAAATAATATAATCAAATATTCGTAAAGCAATAATAAAATATGTAAATGTTATTCTATTGGTGACAATTCCATTAGCATAATAGACATTTTTGATGAATAACAACAGGATAAACTGCATAAGAATTGCTTTTCGATTTATTGCGTTGCATCGAGAGATGTATGCAAAACAATTGCATTACAAACCTGACGGTAAGTTGTTTTACATTTTTAATAATATACACATACTTACAGTTGTCTCTAGTGTTAAAATCGAGGTTAAAATAAATAAATTTTATAATATGAATTATTATAATATTTAGTCTGAAAAGCTGCATGTGCTATATAATACAGTAGCAACAAAGTGGCAACAAAATATTAAAAGCAGTCTCAATGAACTTGGGGAAAAAAACCTTTTTTGGTTTTTATTTTTTTACGTGCAAATGGTGCGTCGTACGAGAGTAAGTCTAGGGACCGAATTTGCTGTAAAATAAATGGAGATTTTAAAAATAATTTTAGTTTTTAGAAAAAGCAGTGGCGTACCATTTTTTTCTTCAAAAATGTTTAGTTCAACAGTTCAACCTCGTACGGACGTCATTGGCAAAGATTTTAAAGCATTTTTTACATCAAACAATGCTCCTTAATGATTAATAGGTGTGTACAAAATTTCATAAAAATATCTGGAGTGATAAGAAAATTATAATAAAAAAGTAAATTTTTTCTTAAAACTGTAACACCCTGTAGCACAAAAATTAAGAGGTTTAGGACATATGTTGATATTAAGTTTTCTTCTTAAAATGACCCAAGGATTCACACCCTTAAGTATCGGCATTCAATTAATAAACGCCCTGTATAGTACAGCAATAAAATATTACCTATTTTCTACAAACGAATGGTTAATAAAATAATAAGTACCTAAATGATGACAAAATGTATAGCTTTCTTCTTAAAAAAAACAAATATATCGCTATATTCTGCTTTATATTCTTCAGACCTTGAATAAAAATATATTTAGCATAACATGAATTATTTCCTTCGTCAATCAGATAAAAGCTATGGGCAAGAAAAAATGGAACGAGAAAATTTGTCCTCTATGTCAGTCAACAAGATTGCTAGATAATTAAAATAATCTAAACTTTGAAAATATCTCTATAAATCAACGGATCAAGTCAAAAAATTTATCATAAGAAAACACTAAATTGTCGGTTTATTGGATTTACGTTTGGAAAACTTTCTTGAATGGAATCAAACAGCTTATGTGTAAATAAATATACACAAGTCCACAAAGCGTAAACTATTTACTTTGTGACGTAGTCTATAAATTTAAAGTTTTGCCGGAGTCGCTGGAGGTAGTATCTAGCTACCTCCTTTTTCAACTCCGTTTAAAAAATAACTGCACCTAATCAAAACAACTTCAGGTAAGTTTTTTTTTATAGAATCTTAAAACATGTTTTAACATTTAGACATAAATAGCTTTCACTTCTCTTGGGAAAATTGTCATCTCTTTTTGGAAAAATAGTTATAAACCAATCATAAACTAAAATTAAGCCCATGTTATCTGCACGTCGTCTATATTCGTCATATTATTTTAATAAATTCGGTTATTAAAACACAGAAGATTATGATATGGGGGATTATTTCTTGTCTGGTAATACCGAATACCGGATCAATCCACCCAAAATAGTAAGTGCGTAATCTTCACGAAAATATTTTCCTTTCCCAACATCTACGTTATAATTTAGTATTACCTGTGTTGAAAATATAACAATAATACGTATAATAAAAAACTTTTTCACAAATTATGTATAAAATATCAAATTTCAAATATGACTATATTCATTATTTTTTTTGAAGAAACGATACCTAAGCAAAATTACCTAAAAATCAATTTGTAGCTTTTGTAAAGAATTCCGAATTATTCGAAAGTACAGTAAAAAAATAATTTTCATCTACCTATACAGCTACTTCGGCAACTTATACGGATTTTAAACAGTAAATATCTTGGAATAGAAACAGCTTTTACTACAATTTTGAATTCATCAACTTTTTTAATTATATAAAAATCCCACCTTAGTTTCAACGCACCGTCTGCATAATTCCACTTTCAATTTTTCCTTATTGGGTCTAGCCCAAGTTTTACTTGCTGATATAAAAACGATTGCGAAAACCGTCACTTTGATCGACCACATATTGAAAAAAACTACCTTCAGAGAAACATTTTCGCACAAACCAAACGACTATTCGAAAACTGAGCTTTATGATAAGCGTCTTCTATCAAGGTGCGCGCTAAACTGTCTGATTTCTGATATTTATGATAATAAAAGTATTCTTGATGTAGCATTTTATAGGTACAGGTAGGGCACTACCTAAGGAATTATTAATTAGTTCTAAAGGTATTTTATAATAAAATAATAAGGGTATTAAGGTGTGGGAATTTCAACTATTTTGATATCATAAAACCTAGGTATAGGATTTATGTAATAATTATTGTAATACTAAGCATTTACATAAATTTGCATATAGTTGATATAATTTGATCATTTAGAGTAAACTAAATAGGATGATGTAAAATACAAATGAGTATTTATAATTGCTTATAAGGATCTTGATTGTATTGTTAACGAGTCATGATTTTCTTTTTTATTTTTGAAAACGATATAGACGAAAGTTTCCATAGGAGAAATTTGTATGAAAAATAGAAAATAATTAAAAAGTTTTATACGATCACCGATAATAAATTTACATTTAAATGGTGTGTAATTTTATAGATCTGAACATAAAAAACTAGACGCATCAACATAAATTAATTAAAGCTGGTATAAAATCACATATTACGATAAATTTTCTGAAATAGCCAATTTGTATTTAAATTTCTTTTTGCGTTGTACTGAAATGGCTAATTCTAATTTAATTTAAATAATCATACCGAGGAATAGAATTAATAAAATCAGTTTCAAAATTAGGTAGGTAGGTACATTTCTTATTATTTTTAACGTAATTCGCAGATAACTGCAGATTTGAAAATATTTGCCAGTCATCCACAGATTATCCTTTAAATATATTTTTAATCCACTTTTGGCTAATTTTCTATAAAAGCTTACTCCTAATCTAAATAAGACAAATTGCACGTTTTCATCTCATTTATAAGAGTAAAAAGTATTGTAACATAAACATGTCAATGTATTTTAAATTTTAGTCATTTTAATAATACCCTAGTATTTTTTATAACAATCAATCAATCAATAGGTTGTTTGAAGCTGGTCTTATTATTTTTTTATTTGAAAACTGAAAGTAAACTGCGACTAAAATATTTATTTATTATATGATTCATTAAACTATAATAAGATGACATCCTATTATATCGACTGCCACTGCCTCATATTAATGTTAGAAGTTGAACTGTATTTTTTACGTAAGAATTTAGATATATTTTTATAATAACTTAAAATGTGATAATTCGGTCATGAAGAATTTGAGTTTCGTGCTAATAATATTCTTTTAAAACTATTACATCAAAATTGCCGAATAAAAAACACTACTATATGATTTGGCTTGCACACGCACTGAAAAATATACAGGGTGTTATCAAAGTTGAGTTATTTATTTTAACAGCTGGTAGAACACGTAAAAAAGTCGATTTACCAAAAAACTTTATATAAAAGTTGCAGAAGAGGAGAGTTATAAAAATCCTGTTCTACAAAAATTGTTCAAAATTGTTACCGTTTGTTTACCATTTATGTTTTTACAGCGCAGAGGTCGAAAATGACAATAAATCAGGTTTGTATGATAAAGTTTTTAAATTTCATTTTTTTAAAATAATTGTTAATAATTGCTTTGTTTGGCAACTTTTATATAAACGATTTTTAGTAAATCGACTTTCTTTTACGAATTCTACCAGCTGTTAAAATAAATTACTCAACTTTGAGAACACCCTGTATATCCCATCAATAGTCTGAAAACGGCATCGTTTCAGCACTGATTTTAATTTCGAAAATAAGAAAAAATCGCAAGGAGCCAGGTCTGGAGAGTGAGGAGGATGAGGGAGGACAGTAATCTGATTTTTGGCACAAAACTGAAGAATTGACAAAGCTGAGTGTGCGGACACATTGTTATGGTGCAAGAACCATGAGTTGTCTCGCTACAATTCTGGTCTCTTTTTGCGGATTTTTTTCAAGTAACCCTTGTAAAACGCCTTGATAGTACACCCGGTTCATTGTTTCACCTTGAAGCAAGAACTCAAAATGAACAAATTCATTAAAGTCGAAAAAAACAGTGAGCATCACTTATCACTTTGACATTGGATTGAGACTGACGTGCTTTCTTGAGGCGTCGGGATCCTTTGCCAACGCATGATGATTGAACTTTTGTCTCATTTTTCAATAAAAATTTCATGACATGACCCAATTGAGATGCTAACCTCTCCTGCGATGACTCTGACAGTCAATCGGCGACTTGCTCGCACCAGATCTTTGATTTTCCGAACGTAGGAGTCATCAGTTGAAATCGAAGACCTTCCTGGTAGAGGATCATCTTCAATTGACTGACAACCACTTTTAAATCGTGAAAACCATTCGTAACATTGCGTACGACCCAGAGCATCATCTCCGTAAGCTCGTTTCAAACGTTGAAACGTTTCCGTGAAAGTTTTTCTCAGTTTCATGCAGAATTTTATGTTGCACCGTTGCGCGTTGTTCCAGAAAACAGCACATATCAAAAATCGTGACTAACACGTCGTTGCACTTAAATAACAATATCACGAAAACTAAATGAGATATCAAAAATCCAAGAACATGTGGTTACAGTAGGTTATGAGCAACGCAATGCTGCCAAATGCATATGAGTAAATATCTCCATTAGCGTATAATGCAAAAAGTTCACTTATTTTCTGAACATACCTCGTACAATTCAATTCTCACTCCTTAAACACTAACTGAAAATTGTTCAAAATGATGGGAATGGAACCCATAACTAAAAGCGTCTGTAAAGTAATTTCTGTGGATGTATATGTTCTAGTTAAATTTAAAAACTTTTTGGTGGTTATCTATACTCCTTGTAACGTTGCGCGTGATATGATAATTGTACTATTGAATATATGTTAATTTGAATTTTAGCGTACCCGCAGTGAAGCAGACGAATTACATACTTACAAATGATATCTAACCCCTACATAATTGTCTTGATGATAAAAGCTTTGATACTATTTTTACACACGATACAACATTAATGTAAACTTTACAGAATTGGTTCAAGTTAAAGATTATAAAACTATTAAAAAGTTTTGCATATAAAAAATATAAATACAGTTCCTATAAATAGAATTTGAGTTCTTATATTATTATCATTGAGATAGAAAACAGATAATTTGGAAGACTACTACGTTGTATTACTAAACGTTACGTTATATTATTAAAATAAATGATAAGATTTAAAAACACACAAAACAACATAAATAAAAACTTTCACCTAACTTTTAAACAGCCAACAAGATGATAGTGTAAGAAATAATTCAATTTCAAACGTATTTTGCAAGTCTATGTACCTACTTTCAAAGGAATATTAAGCACGAAAACTTATGTTACGGGAACGGATACCTACTTTGATTTCAACACAAAATCTGCAGAGTTCCTCGCTATTCGAGTCGTTTTTTTCGCAGCATACACTAGTCAACATAAAGACACACACAAGGATCAACTTTAAAAGTATCATTTTTCACGAAAACTAAATCACTTCTTCGGAAATGTCGAGGCACATATTCGGAAGCGGTGATATGCCGCGGATTGTAGCGTGTCGACGGTTTAATTGATATGCAAGCGAATTGGACAAGTTCCTATCAAGGTGCGCATAAAATTGAGTAAAACTACTTCGAAATGTCTTTGATCAGGTTTAGTATTAACTGTTATAGACAGCTGAGCACAATTTGCAATCAAGGAAGATTTATGTTTGTCTGGAGATTTGGAAGTGGTCGAGACAACGACGAATTCTAATTTTACAAGAATAATGTTTATTGTGTGTTTACAATTCTACAAAATTATTTTTTAATGAGATACATCGTAAAGATAAAGAATTTCTGTACAATTTCTTTGTTGGAACGTCTAGAATCCTGGTAGTAGTTCATTAGGCTTTAAAGGAAAAAAAATGGTGATTTTACTGACTTTCTTCCAGACAAACCCATTAGTTCCATTTTTGTCTTCCATTTCATCAGGCAATTTAATTGGAATTATACACTGCACGTTAAACAAGAACATAAACTAAGACCCCCCCCCCCCCCCCCTTTGCTAAGTTTAATAAGCAAGTTTTACTTCTGATTTCAGCGCTACTCATTTCGCCCATCTACTGTTGATATAAGCTACACGACGTAACATTTTCGAAAAAAGACAGAATAATTAATTAAATTATTACAGTTTCTATGTATTATGCTTAAGAAAGATATATAATTAAAATTTGCATAGCCAATAGGATTCCGCAGGACTTCGTTGTCGATACACCAATTTCTAATCTACTTTCCCGTCATTCGAATTCATTTTCCGTTTGAAACAAAATAAGTAAATATTTGATATACTTGCCTAACTTAGATGTAGTCATATTTTTTGTGAATAGTCAATCATATTGCTACCTTAATCTGATAATGCTGAAATTATTTACCTAAAAATATATTTGAAATTCAAGACCATATACGATTTGAAGAATTATAGCAATAAAGAAAATTGCAACTTATGAATTATTTCTTAAATACATCAATGTGTTTACATATAGTTGCAATATATTCTTCCTTATTAATATTATTTAAAAGGTCTTGTTTCCTTTTATTGCATTATTAAAATATCCATGCAATCTTTATCTGAATACTATTGCAATTACCTATCTATAGATATTTTTATTTTTCTAAAACAATGACAGTGTAAACTAGAATCAAGTACCTATAAAAATAATCATATTTTGGTTATATCTGTACTAACAAAATTATTTCATTAAAAGATCAGTTAAAGATAGTAGTACCTAGAAATCAATGTCAATTTTATAATTTATGACATCATGTACATAATTAATAAATTAGATATCGACGTTTTATGTTTAAACATAAAAATGGGACTGTGGAAATAAAAATATGTATGATACATGATTCATTGTTTAAGCAAGTACCGACATCTGCTTGGTGCTAATCCAATCCAATTATTAATTGAATTGGTCTACAATATAGAAATATTATGTTTTAAATAAATAGAAAAAGAAAAATAATTTATTAATTCTGGTAAGTTAAAAATGTATGATAAATAATCATCAAAAGAAAAATACTCGTAGTAGGCATATATAGGTAATAGTTTAGGCAAAGTTTACAGAATATTCTGTAAACTTTGGTTTAGGGTAGAAAATTATGAGAAAAGTACGCAGTTAAGTATTTAGATAGGCAACCCTTACAACAAAAGACTAAATACAGAGAATCGTATTCAGCAAATTAGGAACAACTATTTGGAGAGAGAAGTTAGAAAATTGATAGGTAGGTATGTCATATTATCAGCGTCTATAAAAGCGTATTATTTTCAAGTCAAAGTCAATTTTATATAAAATATGCAAAACAATAAGACATACCTATATGTTATCTATCTATATCTATATCTAATACGTATTAAAATTTGTTAAATGTATAAGTTTATCTTATCAAATTATATTTATCTATTGACAATTCTTAGAAAATTTAATGTCAATTGTGAAATGCATAGGTACACACAGTAGAAATAAAATCAATCTGAATAAGTACATACGTAGTTAGGCAAAGACAAACATCTCTATATCTAAATTTGGATGTAGTTTCGGCCTAAGAATTTAAAAATGAATTCTTCCTTAACATTTTAAGACATTATAATATTAAATACGTGGTTACGTTGATCATTAATTGTTATTTTCCTCCGCGCATCCAGTTTCAATAAAAACAAAACAAATATGAAGAAACAAATGTGTCGCACATAAATTATGGTTTATTTATGTTTTTTTTTTATTTGCATTAGTTTGAAGAATTCAAATCGCCTGTCTTGTAAATAATGTAAACGTAAATAATTCCTAAAGCGCTTCTATGTAGTACCTAGTTAGTATATAAAGCTAGTACCACTTACTTAAGACAATCTCAAGAGTAAGATTTAAGCCCTGTGTATTATTTGATCAGTGCGTAATGACAACCTTGTTGTAGCTCGTAATAAACGAATACCTAATTTAATATTATATTTGAAATTCATTAGATTATCGTTAAAAAAATGTGCTATAATATGAACTACTCGTATACACGAGAACTAAAATGTGTTGTGCAAGGGTAGAGTTTACTCTGAACGTTTTCGAACGCACTGATCACAACATCACAAAATAAAATAAATTAAATCAAATCCAATATGGTGTCCTGACAGTGACGTTTATGTTTACATAATTGTGTATATTCTTATAACTTTCGTGAAAATCTACAAAACCTCTTAAACAACCTAATTAATTTGAGTAACATAAAGTGTATAATATCTACCGTTGCAATAATTGTTATCGAATGATAACATTTATCACGAGCATTCCAGGGAATTTCTATTGTGAAAATGATAATGCATGAAAATAGGAATTTAGTTTAGATATTCTCATTATTAACAATTACCTTCCTATTATTATCCCATGTACGATAAAGTGTTTGGGTAGGATTGCTGTTCATAAAACGGGATTGTAAGTATCTGCCATTAATATAGATAATTAAAATATTTTTAATGTTTTACAATTTTCAAGTGACATTTCAATATAGAAAGTAGTCTTTTTATTTTAGATCCGTTTTTGCGACCTAAATACCAATGCTACAGATAATAAACTATTATCATAACGAATTTGACACTATCTTTACACCATCAAACTACACTTGGAATTGCTAAGATTCTTTAATATTCAGCAGAGCTCTGTTGGGATACCATATTGCTCTATAAAAAAACCTATACTTTCAAATACATTCCAGAGTAAGTCTTATGTTTTATTAAAATGTCTATTTGTTAAGCTGATTTACCTTGCAAAAGTTAGACTTTTATTTACATATTTTATATGACTGCTAAAAATTATGTCATTTTATTCTCTGTTTTATATATCAAATATTTCTGATTGCCAGAGGAGGAAAACTGTTGAAATACCTATTAAAAAAGTCACATAAGGTTAAACCGATATGTGTTGAGGGTTTTCAGCCATGTGTTTAAATAAAAAAATGATCTATGCAAGGGAGTAATTGCTTAAAAAGTTAGTAATTAACATTTAAGAAAATTGCTCCTCTTTTAAGCAGCTGTTTTGTGAAATGTGTTTTCTTAGTACCATGGTATTTAAGTTTCATTGTATTAAACTAATTGCTTTGTCAGAAGCAGTCAAATTAACATTTTGCTAAAATCTGGGGTATGTATTTTTTGCTTCATGTAATAGGTTAAAAATAAATTAAAAATAGTGATGAACATACCTGAAATTAAATATGACTTACTTAATTTCTGGAGAGAAATTTTATAAAATAATTAATAGAAAATATTGGTTACATGCCATATATAAAATATTTTTGCCAGCTTTCTATGTTATACCGATATTAAGGAGTTCAAATTAGATATCTAAAGCGTCTCTCATAACGTTTTAAAGATTGTATATGCATTTACAGCTATAAAAGTATAGATAGGTATAATTTTTTAAATCCTTAATAGCAGTAATCTATTAATGCAATGGTTTTGTTAAGATTTGTATATGAAATAACCATATGATCTTTATCTAGTCACTATTATGTAAGATTGTTACAAATAAACTAAAATTTGATTGATGTTTCTTATCTAAACATATAAGCACTCATTCACAAAGTTGATGAATCACTCCAATGTTGAGATTAGGTACAGTCTAAAAAGTAATTTACCGTCTTATGAAATAATTCTTCATATTTCTGTTACTGTAGTGACATCCGTCAATTCCTTGATAAAGGATTAATTTAACATCATTATTAAAAAGGTTATATTTTGTCTTGTTTTTAATAGTCAAATAGTTTGAATATAGGTCCTTCTCCCAACGAATAATTTTAAATATCATCAGTTAAGTGGGTCATAATTACAATGAATAATTAATACAACTCTCTGTTAAAAAATATAAATTTGTGGTAACTTTAAATGTAGTCATTACAAAATGTATCCATTTATTTCTCGTGATACAAATAGGCTAATATAAATAAATTATTGTACATGTTAATTTTATGCATCTATGTGTTTAAAATGGAATTGAATTATTAAATTCATGGGTATGTAGTTCTGAAATATCAGGTTTAGTTTGTGATGACAATAGAAACTTTTACAAAATTAGGTATTAGTCTTTATAGCTTATACAGATGTGAATTCTAAATGGGGTCATGTAAATATAGGTTTATCTTTTGTGAGGACCTTTTACTCACCCATAACTTTTAGGTATAATCTATTCTAATATTTAATTTATGTACAGAATATCTTATTAGATTTATATCTTTTAATAACAGATATACTCAAAATAATATCAAATGGATTTTAAAAGGTATTTTGAAACTGTTAGAATTAAGGTAACATTGGTTTATATCTTGAAAAATAATCATTTTTTAATTAAATTGGAATATTAAAAAACTTCCCGTAAATGCAAATACTTGACTTGAATTAATAAAAGAACAAAAGTAAAATATAACTTTGATGATATAAGTGATATAAATATTTTTATATTATTAATATATATTTCAAAAATTATTTTTGTATTTTCCATTAAAAGCTTTAATTTTATTTTATCTATACTTTAATTTCATTGAAATATGACACCCAAATATGTTAAAATTATATTATGATTTGAAATTCCATCAAATGTGAACATACATTTTTGAAGATTGTAATGAAAAATCAATATGTGGTTATTTATTTTTATTTCTGCAGTCATCTAAAGTTGACGGCTATTAATATAAATCTCTTAGGAGAATAGAAGCAAGTAAAATTAAATTTTTAGAGAGGTTCTAGGTTATTATAAATATATTTCTATTTTGATGCTAAGGATAAGGACAAGTATATGTATAAATAAATAAAAATTAAAGAAAACCTATAATTAGTGAAGATAGATATTTGCAGTAGGTTTGTTTTTTGTTGTAGATGATGTTGTCCATATTGCTATCGCCATGGGAACACCAGGCGATAAGGCGGAAATCGGAAAGGTAGTGAAAACAGAACTGCAAACACAACTGGATCCAGATCAACCGAGTCTACCTTCGACCACCACCGAACAGGCCCCCATTCCCACAGTTTCTCAATCGGTAGCAAGTACATTGTTAGAAATGGGGGTAGTTTCCAGGTTGCCGCAATACGAGACGCCACAGTTCGGCACTTTTGCGGTGGAACAAGTTGATCCGTCACTGTCACATACCATCGTCAAACCTGACGTGTTCCAACAGTCAAGCAGCATAGGTTTAGAGCAAGCTACAATAGAAGATTATTTTACACAGTCCAAGTATTATCCAATTTCAGAGAGCCTGCAAACTTTATTTCCCGTACCAACGAAAACATTCCCTAGCATTGATCAACCTGGACCGTCAGGTTTGCAGACGCCTAAATCAAAGTCTTCAGGAGGTTTACTGAAATTAAAAAAAAGTAGAAAGCAGCAGATTCCAGAACAGACGCCTTCCAAAAAATCTCACACTTGTCATATATGTCAGAAAAACTTTGCTAGTCTAGAGAAATTAAACAAACACCAACAAACTCATACGGGTTCATCTCCTTTCAAATGCGAACACTGTAAGAAAAGTTTTACTTCGAAATTTAAACTAGTGCGCCATGCTTTAATTCATTCTGATAGGAAACCCTTTAGTTGCAGTGTATGTGAAAGAACTTTTCATCGAAAGGATCATCTAAAAAATCACATAAAAGTCCACAGTCCGCAGAAAGAAGTGTATACGTGTAAAAAAGAAGGTTGTAAGAAACAATATACCTCTTTGTTAAGTTATAAAAAACATTTGGCAGTTCACGCCGCCGAAGAAGGAAATCTAATTTGCCAGATATGTTCAAGTAGCTTCGAAACGAAAGAAGAAATTTTGTACCATTTAAAAATACACGCCGGTAGTAGGACAGTAAAAAATCCCAATGAAAAAAAATTTACTTGTGAACATTGTGATAGGCGGTTCTTTACCAAAAAAGACGTACGACGGCATTTAGTTGTTCACACGGGAATGAGAGATTTCCTATGTCAGTTTTGCCCCCAGAGGTTTGGAAGGAAAGATCATTTAGTTAGGCACATAAAAAAATCGCACAATACGAAATATAAGTCCGAAGAAGCTCTACCTACTGCCGTAAAAACCGAAACGGAAACGGTGAAACCCGAAACCATCACGAGTACCGAATTAGAAATAAAATCTGAGTTTTCCGAAAGTAATCTTTCCGATCCAGAAGCTTTTAGTCCCGACTTGGATTTCTCTCTAAAGGCAATCTTTGAACACGACCTGACGCCATTTTTGGGACAGGAAGAGAGCAGTTTATTCCTGCCCTCAACATCGGGGCAATCCGAACTGAAAGAATTGGGCAGTGAAATTTTAGAGGAGATCGAGGAAACCCCTTCGACAAGTTCTGGCGTAGTAATAGAAGAACAGAATTTGCCCAGCACGAGTCAGGATGTGCTGGAGGAACTGAATCCAGAACTTTTACGAAGACTTTTAGAATCATCTGGAGATAAAAATCTGCCACTTCCAGGTTTTAGCCAAACTTTCCAGTCACCCCCTCCTGCTCCCCCCAAATAACCCCCCTCCACCCTTACAGAATCTTTATTAACTTTAGAGTTTTGTGACTCTACATATACGCTTTTAACAATACTGTTTTTAATTCCATTTATTATGGGGTAAGTTTTGTTCTTCAGGACCGGCTCTGGTTTTAACATTTGACGTAAACGCATTTATGTTTTGGCCCGCTTTTTAAACTGCCCGGTGTTACTAAACTTTAGCGTTGCTTATTTGACCCGAGTTAATACATTATCGTTTGATGTTCGTTTAATGAAACATATTTTTATGTTTTTCGATTTTTCAGTGTCTTGATCAGATCAATACAAGAATCGCACTAACTAATTCGTTTTGACTGTTCACGGGCTCTGATTGGCTATTAGTATTTTCTGTGTGATTCTTTACAGAGACATAAGTTTTTCGAGATAATTTGAATTACCATTAAGTCTTTAATCTCTCAATTGAGGCGTAATAGGCAGTTGATGTTCCACAGACATCTAATTTATTTATTTCCTCAGAAACAGTGACATTAAGGCTTTTAAGGCCCGTAAAGTACTTGATCGTTGTCAGTTACACACTTACAATACACCACACTTACAATGCACTTCCATAGCTAGGAATGTTTGATTTGCCTTTGTTGCTCTTGGGCTAGATTTGTGGGGGGGACTGACTGTCAGAACGCCTCGACCCATCCAGATATTAACAGCAACAAGAACTCAAATCTAACCAGGTGGCCTAGAGGTTCTGATAGAGGGTCCGTCCTTATAGAGCCTAACCTCAGAACAACAGGGGTAGGTTGAGGATTCTCACCTAAAGCTAAGGAAGAGCATTATAAGTCTCTAACTGAAGGGGACCAGATAGATAGGATAGGGCATAGCAATCCGTAAAATTCAATTGGAGAACACAGATTGATTGCTATTGGCTAAAGAGGAAAGAAAGTCAAAATGAACCTAATCAGTGAGATCCATTTTTTTTTATTTCAGGAAATGACTTCTAAGCCCACAGGGAAAGATAAACATTTAAAATAGGAATTGCGGACCTTGAGATCTCGAAAAAATTGATCTTATTAAAAAAAAATCATTTTTCATAAAGTCACAGCGTTATGGTTTGAACAATCAAATGTGATATCAAACTGCAATTTAAATAGATGCATTATTGTGAATAAAAAATTATTTTGCATAAAAATTTAAAAAATCAGTTGGCGAAAAAAATAATTTGCAAATACAGGTTGTTACAAATTCGCTTCTCACTACAGGGATCTCGGAAACGGTAAAAGGTACGAAGTAGCTTAAATGGGGGCAAAGTTCCGTAATCAGGGGACCAACATTATGCCTCTAAAAAAGCAAGGCTGACATGATTAGTTTTCGAAATATTTGAAAAAAATGGAAATTTTGGAATTCCGTTATTGTTTCATTTAAGCCTTGTTTGAGGTGATATTGGAAAAAAGAAGACATTTTCTCATGGCCACTTTTTGCCCTCTATCGAATGGCATAATCAATTTTTTTATGTAATGTTTCGTCTCTTCAGGACCATCACCAACTTAACTTTTTTAAATACGACCCTAGAAATTTTAATACAATTTTTGCAAGCCTTCATGATCTCCAATGTACTGCCTCAGCCTGAACCAGTTTCAGACGTTTTGTGTCGAAAAACTCATCTTCAGTGTATTCGTTCCAAATTTTCCTAAATTTTTTGTTTAGATTTCTTTGTTTATTGAATTATCGTACACAGTAAGTGGCGTTAGACCCTGTGAAATTCATCTAGTTATTTAAACTATTACCACCACGCGTTACAATAAAACATTTATTATTATTAACTATTACTATCACTTGTTCATACATAACTCAATAAGTTGTTGTGTCAAAATTAAAACATTACAATTTTAATTTTATTATGACAAATTAATTCTTAAAAATTCATATGAACAACCAAAACGCCAACTGAATATTATTCCTTAAAAAATTTCAGTAAATGTTCAAAAACATTTTCGTTTTGGCAAAGGTTGAAAATGAAGATAAGCGTAATATTATCGGAATTTATTATATCTGTAACCGTAAGTGTGAAAGAGCATATCAAATGTATTTGAATGAATATCCTGAAAAAAAATAGATCGGAATTTGTTTGAATTTTGAGCACTCGAGAAGCCTAGAAATAACTATGGGCACGGGAATAAAACTAATAATTTTTTATTTTAATGTGTGGTGGTAATAGTTTAAATAACTAGATGGATTTCACAGGGTCTATTCAATAAACAAAGAAATCTAAATAAAAAATTTAGAAAAATTTGAAATTGAAGATGAATTTTTCGAGACAAAACGACTGAATCTAGTTCGGGCTGAGGCAGTACAGTATTGGGGGTCATGAAGACTTGCAAAAAATTTAATAAAATTTCTGGGGTTGAATTTAAAAAAATGAAGTTGATGGTCCTGGAAAGACGAAACGTTACATATCAAAATTGATTATGCCATTCGATAGAGGGCAAAAAGTGGCCATGAGAAAGTGTTCTCCTTTTTTCAATATCACCTCAAAGAAGGCTGAAATGAAACAAAAACTGATTTCCAAAATTTCGTTTTTTTTTTAAATATTTCGAAAACTAATCATGTTAGCCTCAATTTTTTAGAGGCATAATGTTGGTCCCCTGATTACGCAAGTTTGCCCCCATTTAAGCTAGTTTGCATCTCTTACCGTTTTTGAGATCCCTGTAGTGAGAAGCGAATTTGTAACAGCTTGTATATGTACAACCTTTTTCAAGATTTCAGGGTTGGCTATTTTAAATTTTTGTTTCGTAAATTTTGTTCCAAATTTTTTGGTCATGAAAGTTTTCTACGTGAGTCCAAAAATCATCCCTGTGGTATAGGTTCCACACTTCATTATTGAAATATGATCGCTTTAATTTTCTCTAACTGTCACAACTTTATCATTAATGCTAATTCTTAATGTTGAGGTTAAAGTTAAGTAACACCATGTGGCATAACATTTTTCTTATTGTACTTCTGTTTGGGAAAATCTGTAATTGTTTTATGTTTGATGATTTCTGTATATTATTCTCTACAGCAATATTTCGTAAAAAAAAACTACTAAATAATGTCATAAATCAGGCAATGTCATTTCGATCACTGATCATTTATATTGTAAATATTTCAGTTTGATAAATATGTCAGTATTGTGTTTAATACGATAACCGAATAGAAAATATAGTTAAAATTATATTTTGCAAGAAGAAAATTTTATATTGCGATTTATTTTCACTGAAATGATTTCTTTAGGATCGAAATGAAAAAAAGCAATTTTTTAAATATAAAATTGCCATTTATTGGCAAATTTCTAAAGAAAAAAATGAATTATTGACACATACAGTAATGTCTTAAGTGGGAAACGCCACTCTAGAGGTTGGGAAAAAAAATTCGGGAATTTTCAAGGAAAAAGATATAAGATATCGTGTCAGGAACAAAATGGCTTTATTGTACATGTTTTCAGGTAGTATTGTGAATATGTTCAAACGATTTGGATTCAAAATGGTGGTTGTATTTGATGCCACCTTTTTTTCAGAGGGCTGTACGACAGGAACGGTTTCTTATTAACAGAACAAAAAAACTACAATTTATACTAAAAACTAGGTAAATTAAAAAAAAATAATTAAAATTAAACCATTTATCCAAAAATCGCTTTTTTTCAAAATTCTAGAGTGGCTTTAACACTTGAGTATATTACAAATTTTTATTATAATTGTATGAAAAATATTTTTTATTTTAATAAAATGAAAAGTATATTATCAGTCTGTTGGTGTAAGGAATTTTAGCCATTTTATAACGAATGATGAGATTATATTACAGAGTATAATATTTTTGATCTGATGACATTTAACACTACTTAAAAAAAATCGTAAAAAGTAAATATCTTTTGGTGCTAAAATTTATCGATAAATAAGCTTATTACCGATTGTTATAATTATTTCTCTATCTCCATAAGAAATGAATTTGTGATTATAATATAAGGTTGCTAGTTTTCATGAGATTGAGGAATAATTATAATATAGATGTTATTTATATTTCAGTAAATATTAATTAAGAAACTCACCACTTAACCTAATTAAGTACAAAATACGACATCAATTACATTTACATTCTGCTGTATATTTTTTTGTTATACAGTCGGCGTGAAAATGTAAAAAAGAAACATGTTGCAGATATGAGCATACTGAATAACAGAAATAATGTATAATTTATTAAATATTTTTACAAAAACAATATCTTAATTTTTAATGACTAGAGACCATATAATAGGTTTAGTTAAAAAATATTTTTTTATACAGGGTGGTCTAAAATATTTTATAGGACGTATTGATATTTTAGCTATGTAAATTTTCTATTAATTTCTCTTTGTACTTGTGTTCAGCTGAATCTCGCAGTTAAATAAGAAAAAGTTTATATGTTTTGCTTATATCTGTTTGTAAAAAAACCTTATTTAATTGTTCATTAGATGATCCTGTGTAAAACAAAAACAGTCTAGTCAGTATATTCAATGTTTGGACACTATTCTGTTACTAACAATCAATTTTATAAATTTGATGCCATAAATATTAATCAATAGGGAGTCTTAAAAAACTACCACGAGGTTGTGAATAGAATTATATAATGAATATAGAAAAGTGGTAAAATTGTTAATATTACTTTAATGTATAAAGTTACTAATTATAAAGTTTGAGAAAAAGATTATAGATTTTATTACTATGTATTGTTTTTGTAAGAAATTAATATGTTTGTTATTGCAAAATTATATTTATGTATAAGTATGTCAAATGCCGATTTAATTATGTTATTCGTTATTTGTTTATAGTATTTATCTTCAAAAACTGTTTTATTTATTATATAGTTTATCAGATATGCAACTTATTTTAATTTCAATAGAAAAGCACAAGGAATTTTATTGTTGTCTTAGTGTGCTCTATAAAACTGACCTCTTTACTCCGATACTAATAATAATATTTAATCTACCTCATTTTGCAACAATTCATTGCTGTACAATCAGCTAGTCATAGTTTTAAGAAGAAAATATAAAATAGTTTTTTATGTATTGTAAAATAGAAGAAAGTAATATATTTTATGTTATGTATATAAATATTTAAGCGTATTTTAAAGTATGTACAGACTATATTTTTATACAAATTATAGTATTATTTATATATTACAAAGTTTTTTCTTGTTCACAACCTACCCTCGATTAGGAAATTGAGTGTGGTATAAGAATGAAATCCGAAAATAAATCAAATAGATTCCATCCCACATACATTTTTTAAGGTGCAACTCCAATTTTCTTCGAATTGTTATTTTAACGTTATAAGATACTTTAAAATTGTTTTAATCTATTTCCACTAAAATAAATTGCAATACAAAAAAGAATTCACTGAATTTTTTTAATTTGGGTCAAAATAGTTCTAAAATAACATAATAAAATAAATGGAGATACAATAAAATAGTCCAACCAAATTACACTTGCAGAAAAAAAAATGTTACCTGGTCTTTTATAAGTGGAAATGGTAAAAGGGCTTATAACAAACCTAAAAAAAATAAATGTGTGTGCAGGGGTGGCGGAGGGTTAATTTGGGGGGGTTGAAAAGTGGTATCATTGGGATTTCTGGTGAAAGTTGATGTCAAACAAAAAAGTATCCAATACAAAAGTTGTAGATCATGCAAAAATCTACAACTTTTGTAGAGGTCACTTTTTAAAACGACCTCAAAATTTCCGAGAAAAATGCGAAACAGCTTTTTTTCTTATTTTTCATTTTTTATTTCTCATTTCCGCAAAAATAATTTAAATTTGACGAAACTTGGTGAAAGTATACCTTTCTCTGTGTCTTAAATAACCACAAGTTTCCAAGATATTTATTTTTTCCAGTCTGAAATACTTTTTTTTCAAAGAAAAATTCTACTTGGGAAAATCATTGTAGAGATCTGCCGGTGATCATTTTCTTCGTTTTGACATATACTTTTTGGTGAAATAGAAAAATCTGTAATCACAGTTCAAAAACTTGCTCAAAAATGCAAAAAAAATAAAAAGTGACGCAACAATGAATTTTTCAGTAATTGTTGATAATTTGTTAACCATAAAAAACTGTCATTGTTTGACCCAAAACTTTATTATTGTATAGTATTGCTATAAACATCTAAGTCAAATTACAAACACACAAATGATAAATTATCTTTGGATGATTTGAGATTACTGTTGACACGAAATCCGAAACCCAAAATTATGCAAAATCGTTTATATTTTTTTTTCTGGCTTTATTTGAAAACAAATTTTAAAATAAATTGTATATATCTATACATTGCCACTTTTTTCGCTCTATCCAATAGCGTCAACATTTTTGCAATCCAAGTCTTCTAGTCATTTTTAAATCTGAATTAGATGATATATATTTACTATTGTAATCGTAAAGGTTTTTAACTATAATTTAAAATTTTTCCTGAGTACGTCTCTGAACGCTTTCAAAATATCTATTGGAGGAAGTCATAACAGCATAAAAATATCCAAACATTTTTTTAATCAGTAATTTAAAAGGTTGTACCTAATAAAAAATTAATACGAATTTATGAGTTGTTTTATTATTTCTAATTAGTATAGTTAATAGTATTAAAAAAAATTGTTGAGTATTTTGTGCGGTATTGACTTCATCGATCCATTACCTAGATATTTTGAGTGTTCAGAGCCGTACTCAAGAAATATTTTAAATGATGGCTAAAACAAGCTAAAAACTTCTTTCGGCATATTTCCGGAACTACCCGGAATTTTAAAACTTTCTAAACGGCATATTGTTAGGTATAAAAAAACAACTTTTTTTCTAATCTGAGCCACCCGTATATCTTACCGTTTCCTAGATCCTAATGCTATCCCATCCTTGGTCTTGGACGCACTGTATGTATATCTATGAATTCATCAAAATTAAAAAAAAATAAGTACACTAATCGATCCTACGGAAAAAAAAAATATTTATTTTATTTAAGTACCTATTCACTATTCGACTTATGTTTATAGCAATACTGTACAAAAATAAAGTTTTGGGTCAAACAATGAGACAGAGTTTTTTTTGTATTTTTTCCGTACAATTGAATGGTGTAATTAGTTTTTTTAAATTTAAACAAATTATTATTTTTGCATTTTTGAGCATGTTTTAGAACTGTGATAAAAATTATTTTTATTTCACCAAAAAGTATGTCAAAACAAAAAAAATGATCACCGGCAGAATTCTGTACCATGATTTTTTGAAGTAGAATATTTCTTTGAAGAAAATGTGTTTCAGACTGGAAAAAATATCTCGGAAACTTCTTGATTTTTTTATCTAAAAAAATTTGTGGTTATTTAAGACACAGAAAGGTATACTTTCACCAAGTTTCATTAAAATTAAATTAATTTTGCGGAAATGAGAAATTAAAACCGAAAAATAAGAAAAAAACCTGTTTTTCGCATTTTTCTCGGAAATTTTGAAGTTATTTTAAAAAGTGACCTCTACATAAGTTGTAGATTTTTGCATGATCTACAACTTTTGTGTTGGATACTTTTTTGTTTGACGTCAACGTCTGCCAGAAATCCCAATGATACAATTTTACACAACTTTTCAACACCCCAAATCAATCCTCCGCCACCCCTGCTCACGCATTTATTTTTTTTTCGTTTATATAAGCCTTTACCATTTCCACTTCTAAAAGTCCAGGTAACAATTTTCTTTTTTTTTCCCTCTAAATGAGATATTTTAATCGGTCTACTAATAATCAGCCTACAAAATATGCACTCTGCAAACTACCTTTATTTTGTTTTCTATTTAGGCAAAAATATGTAAATATTTCAGTAAAAATGATAAACTTTGAACTAGGTATATTTAAAAAATTCAGTATTTATTTTTTATTCTACCTTTGCACATTTTATAAATGAACAAACTTTACAGTTTCCACAACAAGAATTAGCAATGGTAATGGCATAATTACTATTGCAGAACATTATACTGGATTTGCATATTAGAATGCTACCAGTTTTTTAAATTATTATCACAGATAATTTTAATATTATGTAATGAAACCATTTGTTGCAATTAATGTTTTATTGTAAAAATTAAAGCACTATAGATATATAAAAAACTAAATTTGATTTTATACATAGTCTGTCTATATACTTGAAATAAATGAATAAAATAAAATTGTTAGTAGTTTCCAAAAGCTTAGGATTAGTGATTTATTAATTATAAATAAATTTAATCTTTTGTGTTATTTACAACTTAATAGATATTTAAACAACAATAATTTCTTGATAACCGAAACAATAAACTCTTAACACAATAAAAATAGTATAAAATTATTTAAACTTTTTATATAAAATTTTCCATTCGCAAGTCAAATCTGACGATATAAACAACCACATTTACAATTCTATAAACTTTACACACTACATTTCCCATATCAAATTTAATCAGTCATTTAATCTGCAGTTTTACTGTATAAAAAGTCAACGTTAAGGCCACATCAGTTCTAATCTATAACTAAAGCTGCGGATGCATAACTCACAGATGAATCGTTTATATTGCGACACTGACTCGACTGAGCATATTTTAAAAACTTCAGACTAGCGTTCTGACTAGAATCGTTTTTAAGAATTTCCTGAATAGCATGTAAGAGTATTCCGATCGGATGTCTTCCACAGATGGTGTTGCCATATTTCTTTAAATAGTTTGTAAACTCTGACGGGTTTAAGTTCTCAATGATATTCATTCCAACTCTATCTAAACTTTCAATAGATTGGTAAATATTTTCAAATGAACGATCGTAATAAGTGTATCGGAATCTGTGCCCCCAATGGCAGAAATCTGAAGAGATAATAAATAAATTCTTAGGATCCGCCAAGTAACTCGATAGAATTCTTCCGTAAGTCGCTTCCTTATCAGGACTAAGAGATCCAACAAGAATAGGAACAATCGTAAATTGATCTTTATAATTCTCCATAACTTTAGCAACATATGGTAAATGCATTTCAATACTGTGTTCATTTTCATCAGTGTCTAAATCCATCCATTCAAATTGACCGGTCATTTCTAATTCATTATTAACGGATATGTCTATGTGCAGATCATAAAGAGGAGTTTTGTATTTCTGGGTACTAGACAAGGCACAGCCTGACAAACGGACGTGGTGAGATGGTCCTAAGATAAATATTCGTCTCACAACTACTGGACTAATCTGTCTATAAGCATATCCTCCACAAGCACCACAATACTGATATCCAGCGTGAGGAGCTATAATCGCTCTTGCAGGGCCATGGGTTAGGTCAGCTTGATTCAACCAGTAGTCCAATTGTCTTGTCAATTCCGCCCCCGAGTCACTATACCAACTTCCTGCATGGGTAGCTCTTCTTACGGGCATTTTGATCAGTCTTCACAGGAGGTATACCTTAACAAAAGAAATAAAAAGAGCCAATTCATTTCCATTACTCATAGATAAAAATAGATGGTTTATAAAAAATAATTACCTATCAGGAAATAAAAAACAAAGTAATAGGTGTTGTAACAGATATTTTAAGTATTTTCTTAGTGCTTTAGATAAATTGTTAATTAATAAATTTTTAACCTAGACCATAACCAATATCTAGGTACCCACTGAACACGGGTACAGAATTTAGAATATTTATAAAATCAAAGGACAGAAAATAGAATAATGCCTAGCGCGAGCTCAAAAAATACAACACATTTGTCTTCCTATAATTATAGTATATAAT